TTGACCGCCTGTTTGAGACAAAGGCGCATCCTGCGAGCGGCCCATATAGATGTGTTTTTTATGACCTCAACAGTACGCCCGTGCCGGTGGACATTGACGACCGTGTTCCTGTGGATGCAAACATGGAGCCGAAGTTTACACGGGTTCCAAAGCGGTCGTGGTATCCGCTCCTGCTGGAGAAGGCCTACGCGAAGTTTGTTGGTGGGTACTCCCGGCTTGACCAGTGCACACCACATGAAACGCTGCGGGACCTGACAGGCCGCCCGGTGACGCACATTCCGTTTGAGGAGAGGCTGGCGGAGGCCGCCAACACCGGCGATTTCAAGTCCGTGAAGTTCTGGGCCGGTGTGGCGAAGGACCTCGAGCGTGGCGACGTCATTACGTGCATGTCTAACGTGGATGCCGGGGACGGCATTCACCCGGTGTGCAGCTACGCCCTCCTGGCAGTCATTCCAACGGTTGGGGAGTCAAATGATCCGGCCGACATTGTAGTGAGGCTGCACAACTGCTACTTTGACGCGCCGACCTACACCGGCCCGCTCAACCGCGAGGACCCACGCTGGGATGAGGCGCTGCGGCACGTGTGTGGCTTCGATCCGTCCCGTGAGGAGCATTTGTTCCTGCCTCTTCCGACGTTTTTGAATAACTTCTCGAGCATGCAGCGCTGCCACATTAACTGCGGCGACCGCCTCACCGCCGCGGGCAAGTGGACGAAGAAGACCTCTGGTGGCAATCCAATGTTCACGTCCTTCCGAAGCAATCCGATTTATTTGGTGGAGAATAAATCGACGCGTCCGGTGCGGATCCTGGCCGAGTTGCGACACCAAGCGCCATCCTATACAGACAGTGACGGTTTGAATCACTATCACCAGACAGGTTTGGCTTCGTTACAATCCGTACAGGCGAAGACACCACCGACCCCGCTCATCACGAATAACACGCACCGCTTCATTGAAAAGGGCATGATGCTGGATGCGAGGGAGGTGTGCTCGGAAATGGAGCTTCCACCCAACACGACGTGCTACCTTGTGCCGTACACCATGAAGCGTGGCTGTCATGGCAAGTTTAACGTTTCTGTCTATCATGGTATGGCTAACGTGACGCTGACCCCGTTGCGTAACGCCGGTCTCACTCATGAGCCAGTTACCGCCAACTTTGTGCTTAGGACCGGTGCGCAAAGGTCTGCCTCGGTGCATTTGCAAGTTAGTGATGCATGTGATGTGCACGCTCTGCTGGTGCAGCTTAACTCGGGTGCGGCACCGGGTAGCATTGGTGATTGTCGCGCCGAGGATGCGCTGAGGTTGACGGCATTTGACAGTTCTGGTATTAAAGTGGCGTCCTCAGGAGACGCGACGAATGCCCGTGAACAGGCGTTGGTTTTGCAGCTGCCCAAACCAGGTGTTTGGACCTTTGTGGCGGAGCGGGTGAACCGCAATGTGGGCGGTGACTGTCTGTGCATGCTGAAGTTCTTTACCCCGACGAAGATATTGGCAAAAATTGTATCTGTGCCCTCCTCCAACGCCACACCGAGCAAGGCGGCGAGACCCGGCCTTGCGATGACGCCGCGCAGTTTGGGTGTTGTAAACGGCGACGACGCCGTCCATCGAACGTCGCGTGCCTTCTCGGAGTATTTGCCGGTGGCGCGACTTCCGTCACCGGAATTGTCTGCTCACGCCATCGAGGCGGCCGGTCCGCAGAATTTGGACATATGAATCTTGCGTGGGCCCAGAGTAATAGATGAAGGTGCAAGATAATAAAAAAAAAATAAAGTAAGAAAGGGGTAAAAAAAGGTGTATGTCATTTTGCTTGCCGGCGTCCCATGGGATGTGTCGTTGTTGCTTTGTTATCTATCTATCTATCTATGTATATATATATTCTCCTTGGTTTAGGCCCGCTGTCATTGTTAGAGTACTCTTTACTTCTTTCTGTCTCTATTTCCATATTTTTTTTAAATTTTTTCTTTTTCTTTTCTGCGCAGAGCATATTTTTATGTTTCTTTTTTTTTTTTCCAACCCGGAAATTTCTGCTTTCTTACGAAACACTCATTATTATTATTCTTTTTTGTTGTTGTTGTGCTTATTTTTCTTCTGCCCGTGCTTCTCGGTCGCGCATCTGTTGGCCCATGTGTGCATGAGCGCCTTGACACGCTGGCGACTTCTTTGGGGAACCGCAGCCCGCCACAGTACCCGCGCTAATAGAATGAGGGGGAAAAATGCTATCGGCGCCGGAGGTGGAGCCGGAGGGCGGAAAGAAGGCGTCATGCGTCTCGCACGACGCAGCTGCACTGTGGGCGTCATAGAGGTGCAATGGACCCGGCCACAATGTACTTACTTACGTATGTGAGTATGTCTGCCTCTCTCTCTCTCTAGCGGTGCGCACATGTGTGTGTGTGTGCGTACCTGCTACAAACATGTACATCTGCCTTCGCCTTCGATTCACTCCCTGCTATGCTTCACTGAAAATGCCGCCAATTATTTGTGTACGGCAATTTTAGAGTGTTGGCATGCCGGGTGGAGAGTAGTTGATTTTTTTCTTTTCCTTTTTTTCGGCTGCAACTCTCTATGCAGAAGAGGCAGTAACTTGCCTCATTGACACCGCCCGATTCGCGACGTTGTGGCTGCGTGACTCATGTTGTGCGTCTGTGTGTGTGTGTGTGTCTGTAAATGTGAATAGAAGGAGGAGGAGAAGCAAAATAGAACTGGGGAGGATACTGCTTTTTTTTGTGTTTATGTTTGAAGTCTCTTCTGTGGAATTTGGAGGGTGTGGTTGGAGAGACGCAGGAAGGCGGTGTTACACTCCCACCCGCCCTTTCAGCACGCAGTGGGCGACACGCCTGTTCCCTTTTTTCCCCCTTTTTTTTCCCCCTTCGTTGTTGTTGTTCCTGTTGACCAGAAGTGTGTGTGTGTGTGTGTGTCTGCGGCGGGAAGGGCACTGCAGAGGCGCAGTCGCAGCACCCCCCGCTCACGCAGAACACGTAGAAAAAGCGGAGACGCCAAACACCTCCGCGCGGTTGAGGCAACCAAAAAAGAAAAAAAAAGAAAAAGAGCTCAAAGGTGAAAAAGAAACACAGATATATATATATTATATTTGTATACATGGAGAAGATGCAGGAGAAGGGCGCAGTGGGGGAGGGTGGCGCCATGGCGTACACCTTTCAGCACCCACCGGAGAGTTTTGTTCGTCCACAGTACCGAGACCCGAATGGGTCTCGCGGGCGCAAGCAGTACGCAAATATTATGCATGACCGCCGCGTGTACAGGGGAAGCACCTACGCGGCCACGCCGATGTCAACGCACGCCTTGGAGGAGCGGGCGCGGGAGGAGCGTGAACTGCTTCGACGCAAAAAGGAGATGGCGCAGCGGGCGGCGTCTATTAAACGCCGCAAGGAATTGGATGCCGCCCAAAAGCGACTTGCGACACCCCCACCTGTAGCCGGTCGTCAGCACATAGAAGTGCAGACAGAGGAGTTTCTAGAGGAGCTGAAGGACGAGGTGGAGGCGGTGCCGCAGGAAACGCAGACGGACCCTATGCTGGATCGCCCAGCAACCCCCAAGTACGTGCCCGTCAAATCTGGGCGTGACGCCGAGTCACAAATAAACGAGGGTGACTTGTTCCACTTCGATGACGCGGTGGATCCAATACTTGACGTGATGGTCGGTAAGACACTGGAGCAGGCGATGCTGGAAGTGCTTCAGGAGGAAGAGCTCGAGTTGTTGCGGCAGCAGCAGCTTGAGTTTGAGCAGCGGCGCAAGGAGGAGCTTCTAGAGGCGCAGCGTCTTGAGGCTCGCGAAAAGCGGTTGTTTGAGGAAAAGGAGCGCCGTAAGAAGCAGGAGATTGAGCGCATCAAGCGCGAGAAGGAGACGCGCGAGAAGCTGCAGGCAAGGCAGTTTGCCAAGGTCTACCTCATGAACCTCGAGAACCGTGTCTTTGCCCGCTTGCAGGATGAGGGCTGGTTCCGCGATCGCGTCCTGCACGAAGTGGAGTTCGACTTCTTCCCGTGGCTAATGGAGGAGGTAGAGGGCGTCCTGGCGAAGAAGCGGCAGGCCCGGGTTCTGGTGGACGATCTCATTCGGCAGGTGGTTGCCATGCAGCTAGAGAGCTGAGGAGCAGGAGCGGCAAGGAACATAAAAAAAAAGAGGCAAAAAGAAAAACGCACAAAACAAAATGGAGAAGAGGGGACAAAGACGGAAAGCAGCAGCAACGAAGAGACGCAGAAGTGTGAATTGAAGGAGGAGGGGCAGGAGGAAAGGGTGAGGAATGCCTGTGATGCGGCACCCCGGTTTTATTCATGTTTACGTATTTATTTGTATATAAATAGAGAGAGGGAGAGAGGGAGGAAGAGAGGGCGATATGCGGAGTTTGTTGTACTTAGTCCCTTTACTTCCCTCCTTTCCTTATTCCTCTCTTTTGTTGTTGTTGTTGTTGTTCTCTTTCGTTTCCTGCGTTTCCGTCTATTTATTTATTTTAATTTTGTCCCCTGCTGCATCTTTTTGTTGTTGTTGTTGTTTTTTATTACTTCTGGTTGTTTCTCTTGTTTTCCACGGCGCTGCTCTCGCCACATGTAAGGAAACTTTATGTACCACAGTCTTTTCTCTCCCTGAATATTTGTTTGTTTGGATCCCCCCCTCCCTTGTACGCGATAGATTTATCTATGTATGTGCGTCTGTGTGTCTGTGTGTGTGTGTGTGTGTGTAAGTAGGTGTGTTGCACGTTGCCGGACATTCCTTTCGCCTCGCCTCGCGCAAAGTCTGCGCGGGAAGGGGGGAGGAGGGAGGGGGAGGAGGAAGAAGACTGGGCGGCGGCGTGACATCGGCGCCGTACCACGCCCCCCCAGCATCTCATTACTACTATGCGCTTTTTTGATTTTTGTTGTTGTTGTTTTTTGCTTCCCTTTTTGTAAAAGAGGGGGAGAACGCAAAAAAAAAAAAATCATCATGACCCCTCGTCTTGGCTTCTGTGGGACTTTTTCTTACTGCTTCGCTGCCGCCCGTTTTGTGCTTCTTTTTCCCGTTGTTGTTGCCGTTGTTGTTGTATTCCTCGCCCCGTCGTCGCCGCGCCTCCGCTGAAGTGTAGCGGTGAGTTTTTAGGCGCATCCGCGGGAACGCGACACCCGGAAGGGGGGACAGAGGCGAGTGCTGCGGGCCGCATATTTTCCGCCGCCGCCGCCGCCGCCGCTCCTTTCCTGGGGGCCGCGGCCACTTCCATCAGGGCGGGTAGCGCATGGCGTACTCCAGCGGCCGCTCCTCCTCCACCGACTCATCCGCCTCCTCCTCCTCGCCGCTGCACCGTCGCGCGGAGGAGGGGGAGGCGGAGGCCCTCGTCCCGCACTTTGAGCTCACCACGATTGGGCACGAGCTGGAGGAGCCCATTCTCTCCATGGACTCCCAGTGCGACGTCATGGCGCTGCTGGGGGAGAAGGGCGGGCTGGTGGTGCGAGACACGGCGCGGGACGCCGCACCCCTGACGGCCGCCATACGCAATCCGTACCGGGTGTTTCTTGACCCCACCGGGACCCACGCACTCGTCGCCGCGACGGATGGGGAGATGTATTACTACTCCTCACGGCAACGCAAGGTGTCGGGTCATTTTCAACTGCAGCACCGCGGTGGGACCTGGGACGGCGCAACGACGGCACCGCCGGTGCCGCTCCTGACGACAAGCAACAATGTTGCTGAATGCGTCTGCTGGCTCCCTGATGCACCGACAGAGGATTCAAGTCAAACAGCAATGAAAGTGCACTGCCTCGTTGGCACCAAACTCGGGGGCTTTGTTTTTGAAGTCAAGATAGAGGTGAGTGGAGAGAGCGCGGTTAAGCCGGCGTGCCGGCAATGCTTGCAGCTTCCTGCGGGTGGCTTTCAAAGCCCCGTAGCCTCCATTCAGGTTGAGCGGGTGAACAGTCTCTGGCTGATTTTTCTCGCTACAGCCACAACGTTGTACCGTGCGGAGGGCGAGGCATCCTGCCCGATGGAACTTCTCGACAAGGTGGCTAAAGAGCCCAAGCTACTCCATATCCGTGAGTCGAACGCCACCTCTGACGTGTCCGCCCGGGGGGCCGTTGTGTTGTACCGTCCTGGCCTAGGCATGCCGGCGCAGTCCTACGCGTGGACCAGCACAACAGGTGTTGTGCATGGACTGATGAACCGTTGCATCCACCACGATCTTTCCAGCAGTGAGGCGGCGGTCTTTGGGTGGAGTGACGCCTCCGCGGTGGTGAACGAGCAGCTCCTCGCACTAACGAGGGTACGACATTCTACGCATGACGCAGGGAACTTTGCCGCTGCTCCTGCTGCCTCCCCCACCGCAAGTAGTCGTGGACTTCCGCAGACAAAAATGCCAATGGAGGTGGCACTGACGGCGTTTCATATGATACTGCTCTACAATGATCGACTGGTTGTACTAAATCACCCTGCAGGCCTCACCTGGCGAGCCGCGTCCTCGACGTTACTTGGCGACAGTCCGTACGCCTGCGAGATCGAGGAACGCATACGCTTTGACCCCTTTCACGCCGCGAGGAAGCCGTTGGAGTTGCGTGGAATCGTGCGAGACACTGCGGCGCGCAAGATTTACATATTTGGGAAAAATATCCTGTGGGAGCTTCAGGTGGAGCAGGAGCATCGGCAGCAGTGGTGGGTATTTCTCTACCGGGCTATGAACCGCGGCGAGTCTCTCCCGTTGCGAAAGCGTTTTTTTCAAGCCGCGTACAACCTGTGCAAATATCGTCCTTCCAATAAAAATATCGTTCAGCTGCTGCGGGGAAAATTTCTGCTTCAGATTGGGGCTGTGCAGTACGCCACGGATGTCTTGGCCGACTGCGACCGCTTTGAGGATATCTACGACCTTCTGGTTTCCCTGCGCAACAGCAAGGTGCTGCGGCTGTACGTGGAGAAGCGCTACAAGCTGCTGGTCAAGTATGCCGTGAGTGCCTCTGTGATGGAGACTCAGCTGGCCTGCCTGCTCGTCCTCATTGTGATGCAGCGGCTGAACGGGATTACGCGAAGCGAGGCGAGCGAAAAAACGAGCGTTGCCGCCACCGCGAGCCTAAACGCGTTTCTTGAGCAGGCCATAAAAGATAGACCGAGGCTGTTTGAACGGAGCTCATACAGTGAACTCATCGTCCGGCTGTTGGAGGGGCAAGGGCGGCCTGAACTTGCCCTTGGGTTTGCGGCGAGGATTAAAAAGGTCCACTACCTTTTGACGTACCACGTCTCTCATGGGGAGTACACGCAGGCGGCCGATTTGCTCGCAACGCTCGCCCGGCGCCCGGAGACGCTCGAACTGTGGTATGAGTTTTCTCCACTTCTCATGAAAAAGTGCCCGATACGACTTACCACGGCCATGCTTCGCGTCGTGGCCCGCGACCGGCAGGGGGGCACGTACATGTTGCTGCAGCTGGAGCGACTCATTCCGGTGTTTATTCAGTACTCCCCGCAGATGAACGAGGACCCAAACAATGGCCAGCACCAAGCCATCATTTTATTGGAACGTTGCATCAACAAATTCAACTGCGTCTCAACAGTTGTGCATGACTACTACCTAAGCCTCCTGGCAAAGAACGATGGAGAACGACTGGATGAATTTCTTGAATCATCCCTCTTCTACAGCGTCGATTTTGCACTCCGTCGCTGCTTAGAGGCTCGCAGGTACCGGCAATGCGTTGGACTTTATCGTCGGCTGCATCTCTACGAGGATGCCATACGTACCGCCTTGGAATGCTCTGAGCCGTCAGATGTCAAGGATGAAGAGTGGCCTGCCCTGCGTGTGGCCAGGGATCTACTTCGCTCGCTTCCCGAACCTTTGGAGGCGTCAAAGGAGAAGAAACTTTGGCTTATTGTGGCACAGTATGCGTTGGAGAAGGGCAACCCCCGTATGGCGCTCAGCGTTGTGGAGGATTCTGGCGGTGTGCTGAAGCTTGAAGACATCCTTGGCGACATCAGTGATAGCTTGGTTGTGCAGGACTTTAAGGACTCCATATGTAAAAGCCTAGACGCGTACACCTCCTCTATTGCCGCATTGAGGGATCAGCAGCTGGAGGCGACACAACTGTCCGAAAACATAAAACAGGAGATTGCGCAGCTGCAGTGTCGCTTTGGATACATTCCAGCACGTCAGCGGTGCATCTTGTGCGATCAGCTTCTTTTGCGAGAGTCTGCACCGTACCTGATTTATCCGAATTGCCAGCATGCGGTCCACGAGGCCTGTGCCGTGGCAAAGCTGGAGGAGATTGGCGGTCTAGAGGCTTTTCTTGCGGATGAGGGGCTGCCGAGGCAGTTTCTTGACGGCGTGACTTCCACAAAGGAGTTGGCGCAAACGGAGTGCGTTCTCTGTGGCGAAGCGTCTATCCTTGAGATTGACCTCCCCCTCTGCGTCGAGGATCGCTCCTGGTCCGTGGCGTAGCAACAGGCAAGGCCTTTTCCTTACACCACGGTCGCAGGAAAAAGAGGTGCACCTCTTTTTTTCCTCCACTGCGGCACCCCTCGCGTTGTCGCAGCCCGACCCGAACCAAAGGCACACACTCACACACACCTGCAAAGGAAGCGTTTGGTACGTTTCTTTTCTTTTTTTTTCTCTCGCTGCTGCGCCATTGTTCCTCGCCCTTTTTGTCGCTAATGTTGTTGATTTCTTCTGATTTTGGGCAGTGGTGTTCCTCGTGTTTCTTCGCTTTCCCGGGCGGGTCACCATCTTCCTGCTTTCCCTCGTGTTTCCGCATAAATATGTATTTTGCGTTGCTGTTCTTGTTCTTGACGGGCGAACTGGCTTGCTACTTCGACTTTGTTTATTTCTCTCCTCTGCCTTCCACCTGCGTTTCTGCGTGTGTGTGCGTGTGGGCTTCACCGCTAATTTTGTGTAGCGTCGTGGTCGGGATGAAGTTTTGGGTCAAGGCCATCACCGACGATAATGTTCAGGAGCAGCTCCTCGTGAAGGCGAACAACTCGCCGGAGCTCATGAGGGAGCTTAGTAGACTACTCAACACCCACGTCACGTGGATGTCGGTCTCCGACTTTCAGACGCAGGTGGTGGAGAGGCTCGACGGTGGGGCCGAAATTCTCCCAGTGAAGGTCGTCACGTCAAAGGCGGCGGGGCAGCCACAGGACGGGGAGGCCAGTTTCACGTCCTCCGAGCCGCACCCGCAGCACCCAGCGCCCGCGCCGGCTGAACTTTCGCAGGTTGTATGCAAAGAGGATGAGGAATGGCCGTTTTCGCTGCGGAGCCCCAGCCTTTCGGAGGCGGGGATAAGTGCTCGCCCATCCTCGGCGGGTCAGTCGCTGCTTCTTACCCCGCCAGTGGACCAGATTTGCCTTACGCGCAAGGATATTGAGCTGCTCCTGCACCCTTCACACGCCAACGCCTTCGTCAACGTCGTCTCGGGGTGCTTTGTTAGGATTCGTGGGAGGCAGGATTATGACGTGTACCAAATTATTCGCCCGTCCAATGGTGTGGATTTGTTATTAGATATGATTCACTATGAGGAAACGCGTCCGCTGGAGGTGGTGAGCAACGCCCCTCCTGTGCCTCAGGAGGTGAGCACGTGGAGTAAGAAGATGATATCGGCGTCTAGGCCCTTCATGCCTCCAGGGTTCATCGAGGCCAAGTTGGGCGACCTCAATTCAGCGATGCGGGCGGCGCGACCATCGCTGCAGGATCAGTCCCTGCAGACAAACGCCGTTACTCCACCGACGCCTCCTGCCGTTGGCAGGGAGCTGCAAGGACGACGACGCCAGCTTAGTTTATTTGCTCGCTCCCGCATGTATCCGTATATTTCGCTCGGGCGACTGATTATTAAGACCAATGATGTTCTTCTGCATCCACAAATTTATATCCTTGAGGAACCTGAAGCCGATACCTTCGAACTCGTTCTCTTTGCGACCCGGTACAGCAACAGTGGGAATAAAAAAAACGTCTCTCAGACTTTGCGGGCTGCATGATTACGTTAAGCAAGGGCGGCGAGTCTCCAGTGATGGTGAGTGACCGAGACGTGACAGTCAAGGGATATGAGGTGTTCTGTCCTCCGCAGAAGTGGAGTGGTCAGTATGTAACGTTAGCACAAATTCAACCATCTGTTGACAATGTTCCCTACCTTGATGAGAGTAAAAAATCTCTTCAGGAGTTTACGGTGCTCAGTGGAAGGTTCTTAGCGGGTTTATTTAACCTCCCGACGAATACGCTGCTGCCGATTCCAGCATGGGCGCAGACGGAGGGGATTTCCGCACACATCACACGTCCTCACCTTGTGGTGCATAGAGAGCAGTTGCATGTGTTTTACCTTGTTCGCATGTTGGGTCCGCACCCGCCGCAGCGATCCAGTTCATTCCGCATGCGGGGAGGCAGTGCCTTGGGTGGAGCTAACGTGAGTGGGGAGGGGGCTTCCATTGGAAACGGCTCCAGTGAAGAAAAGGTGGCAGCTGATGCTGCGACGGCGCCCACGGGCAATCTTTCACACGAGAGCAGCTTCGCTGAAAACTCCGTAGCAGGAGTTTGCCGCTACGGCCTTGCCCACGCGGTGACCACGGATCCCAAGCTGCGTACATGGAAGCTGCTGACCGAAAAGGAGCCTCTATTCTCGTGTTCGCATTTCATGCCAGTCTTCACGGCGGCGTCTACCTCTTCGTTTCTTGTCGTGCGAGATTCCGAGGAGGACGCTTCTCCGCCGTCGAGGTCGGGGGAGAGGACCCTGCAACTTTTTTGGTACGAGGAGGACTTCGCCTTGCGACACGCGGCAGCTTCCACGCATCGCTCTACCCGTCGCTCCCTGCCGTTGGGCCCTAACAATAGTAACCGCATTCTTTTACCTTTTGAACACCTGGTGAACACCCACGAGGAGGCGTTGCCGGAGCACTGGGTGCAAGAGCCCTGCTACTCTTCCGTACGCATGGGCGCGGATTCCCTCAAGGTTGGCGTCTCCTCGCTCTCATTTTGCGAGCACGACGGTGCCACCTTTGCGGCCTGTGTGCAACATGATGCACATCAACGACTCACGCTAACCGTGTTGCCTGTGACGAATGAACCGTGACCCCGTACTTACAAACGCACACCCGGTTCGCTGTATTGTTTTTCTCACTTTTCTGTACTACTATACTCTCATGCAACGGCGAGTGGAGGAATAGAAGGCGATGTATGTCTTTTTGATGATTTTTTTTTCAGTGTCTTTTTTTTTCTTCACCCTCACTTGGCGTCTTTTTATTTTCAAAGCTGATTTTCATTTTTTACTACTTTTTTTTCGTCGCGCGCGCGCGTTCCCACTCCGTACACTGTCCTTCCTAGTGCTGATGGCGTGAACGTGCAGGAGGAGCCTTTCTCCGCATCTGCCGCCACGCTGAGAGTGGTGTTGCGGCAAACTTGCGTCACTATGCAACACCCATGTGGGCTGAGGAGCTGTTGTTTTTTTTTTTTTTGTCTCTCTACTTCTTCACCCTGAGCGTGTATGTGTTGACTGTATTTTTTTTTCTTCTCTCTCCCCCCCCCCTTCCCCTGCATCTTTTGAGCGTATCCCCCGAGCGGAATCTGAGTGTGTTTGTTTGCTTGTTGTCAGTTTTTCTTTCTGTGTGTTTGTGTATTTGTTATTAAACACTTTTGTCGGGTGGGTGGACGCTGGCAGTTTATTTTGTGGCCGGCGGGTGCGGGGCGGCGTTGTGGCGGGATTCGGCTCCCCCACTGCCCTCCGCGGCGGCGCATTCCCCCGGAAGAACTTCCCGCCGCACCCCTCACGCGGCAAAACGCTGCGGGGTGCCAGCGCAGCGAGAAAAGAGGAGAGGAGGGGAGGTGCGGATGCCCACGCCCCGCCGCAGCCGTGGATTCCTTGACGCTTGACGCTTTTTGTTTCTGTGCTGCTGCGTTGATTTGTTACCTTCGGCGCGTCTCCCTCGTCGAGGCGCTCCACGGCGTGCGGCCTGCGTCTGGTGGTGGTGGTGGTGGTGGTGGGGAGGGGCGTGTGGGACGTTAATGGCTGCCGTGCGGGACGTCAAACTGCGCTGAGAGGACAAGTAGAAGAAAGAAAAACGACGAGGCATTCCGCCACCACACGCGGCTGCTGCTCTCTCGCAAAATTATCTGCCCGTTTGTGTCGCTGTATTCCATTGCATGCGTGCTTCTTCCCTCTTTGCCTCTCCGTCTTGTTTGCTTGCGTCCAGATGGCGTCTGGGGATCCCAACGCGGCGGCCGCTGGCGACGGCATGTGCGGCATCTGTTTTACGAGCATTCACCCTGCCGATAACCCACGCGGCCGGTTAAACTCCTGCAACCACATTTTTTGTGCCTACTGCATCAAGGAGTGGGCAAGGAGCACAAACGTGTGTCCCCACTGCAAGGCCCGGTTCACCCGCATCTTCACCGTGGATGCAGCAGGCGCCGAGGAGGTCACGAAGGTGCGACGGCGAAACTACAAGCTCTGGGAGGAAGACGAGGGCGAAGCGGAGGAGGGCGAGGGAGAAGCAAGTGAGAACAATGGGGGTGACAGTCGGGCGTCGGCGTCCAGTTTGCTCGTGTGCGACGTATGCGGCCAGAGCGACAATGCGGTTCGAATGATTATCTGTGATCGTCGGCAGTGCTCGAACACGGTCCACCTCGATTGCATAAATCTCTCAGAGCGGCCAGCGGAGTATTTTTGCTCCGAATGCACGCTTCTCCGTGCACCGGCTCCAGCTGCCGTCACCTCCGCGTCGGACGCCGTGGCACCTTCCCTGGCGCTGCCGGCCACCGTCGAGGGCACGGCCGTCAACGATGAGCCTCCACCGCCCGAGGCTGATGACGCGGATCAGGCGCCGCCAGTGACAGTTCCCCCGGCGCCTGCCCCTCCGTGCCGGACAAGCGCACGAAAGGTTTCCGTCGCCCCACCGGCCTGGCTGCAAGCGGCGGTTGAACGCAGCCCTAGACCGCAGCCAGAGTCGCAGCGACGCGTGCCTGCGGCAATGCAGACTTCTTCAAATAGTTCGGCGCCTCCAACGAGCGCCGTCGCCCGTGAGGCGGGAGGAAGTGGGGGACCATCGCTGGCGTTGCCGGTTGAAGATGACGAACTGCACCGCTCCGCGCAGACCGCTATGCAGCAATTTCTGCAGCGGCAGGCACAGCAGGAGCACCACACACGCCTTCGGCGACAGCGCAAAGTCGAGGATCCCTTGTACGGCCTGGCTTTGCCTTGGTCCCCCGCACAACGATCGAAACGGCCCCGTGGTGGTGATAACTTGCCCTCGGGGCGTGCTGAGGCGGCGGATGTGTTGAACCCCGAGTCGCGACGCCGTGAAGAAGAGGCGCTGGCGCGGCGCATGGCCCTGGAGCTGCTTCCCATTCTTCGCCGCAATCGGCTTCTGCAGGAAAATCGGCTCTCGTTGGGCGATAATGGGAGCATTCTGGTAGCGTCGTCGCCCTCGGAGGCTGTGAGGGCGCGGCGTGAGCGGGACCTCTACACCGAGGCCATGGCGGAGGGCAGACGCATGGCGCGAGAACGCATGGAGGCCAAACTGATCGACGCCAGGCTGAGAAAGGAGCGTCTCCTCCGGGTGCAAGCGCAGCGCGAATCCGCGGCGTTGGCGAAGCTGGCGAGAATTGTTGCCTCTCGCCGGGTCAAGCCAAGGCCAAGCTGAAGTGCGTCAAAGCTGGGGGGACGGAGGTGTGCCGACGCAGTCATGCCTCTGCTTCGCGTTTGTTGGTTGTTTGTTTGTTCCTCTTTCTTCGTTCTGTTTGGTTTTTTTTCTTGTTGTTTGCGTTTGCTTCTTTCTGCAGGCGTTGCATATTCATTCCCCTGGGAGGGGGGCATGACGCCTCCGAGCGGGGTAGCGGGCCTGAGTTGTTTGCGGCGGCGGCGACGACAGTCGAGTGCAACGAACGTACGACAAGAAATATGTGTCCCACTTCACCTCAGCAACGCCGACTCCCTCTTCCTCGATCCCTCGCCCCGCAGACGCGCACTCTCGCTCTCTCTCTCGCTCTCTCTCTCTCTCTCTCTCTCCCACCTGTCGCCACTAGCCATCTGCAAAGTAGCTGCTCTTTATAGTTTTTCCCGAGGCGTTTGACCGGGGCGGGAGTGGAAAGGGCGGGTAGGGACGTCGTGAGACAGAGCGAGGCAGTTGTCACGGGGCTCAATGGCGGACGGTGTGCTTGCCCACGAGGAGGTGCTGCGACACATATACTCCTTTTTGCAGGCCTACGGCTACAAGAATTCCCTGCTTGCATTGCAGAACGAGTCCCGCGTGCCGTTCAACACCATAGACGTTGTGGAGGCAAACGAGCCTGCGGAGCGACGCGGCTCCGTGACGTCTAAAACCCCAGCCGGCCTTGAGCGGGCGGTACTTGAGGGGCAGTGGGACACGGTGCTTGCCAACTATGTGGATTTGCTGCTGCTCCCCACGGAAGTCACCTTTGACCTGTACGAACAGATATTTGAGGAGCTGTTGACGCTGCACGGCTTTGTGCACGCGGCGAGGGCGTTTTTCAACAATTCACCCATTTTTGTGGCCATGAAAAACTCCTCTGCGGCTCGGTATGCGCGGTTGCAGCAGGCGCTGGAGGCGCAGAAGAACAGCTTTGTAGATGATAGTAATACACCTGGGAGTGGTTCAATACCTGCGGAGGTAGCGGCCAAGCGGGAGACGCTCTTGCGGACGTTGCAAGAGGCCATCACGTGGAACAAAGAGCCGTACAATGGCTTTCTACCTGCCGCGCTATGGCGGCTTCTGAATGACGGGGAGGGCAGTAATGGAGGTGGCAGAGCAACCTCGCTAAAGCGACAGCGCGCAAGCGATCTTGCCGCGCCGTCGAATCTTCCTTCTGTCATGTTCCTGCACTACCCACTTCAGTGTCCAAAGACTATTCGACGTAAAATTGTCTTTGACAACGCCGAAAAACCCACCTCGTGCGTGCATACTATGCTCTCAACTGCAGACGGCGACAAGCACACTTTCGCGGCCCTCATTGTTGGCAAGACGGACGGGACGGTGGATTTCTTGGCCGTGGATTCCGCTTCACCTGTTGGGGCCTCCGTTGGACACACCGACGGTGTCTTGAGCCTGGCCCCCGATGCCCCGGGGGAGGCCGTCACGTGGGTCGCCGTCGGCTACCGGGACGGAAGTGTGAAGATCTATAACACGGAAACACGGAAATTGGTGCGGCGCTTTTCACAGGTCCACAGCAGTGGTGTGACCTCCCTCATCTTTGCAGGCGCACCCAGCCAGGCCCTCGCGGGACATCGCTCTTGGGTGGTGTCTGGCTCCTTCGACGGCGTGATTCAGGTGCTCGACATCCGTGAAGGGAAGTCGCTGCAGCGGATAGCAGATGCACACGAGTCGAAGTACGTGCTCTCGCTCTGCTTCTTGCCGGAAAAGGCCGGAGGCGTGGTTTCGGCCGGAAACAATGGGATGCTTTGCTTTTGGTCCGTTTCTAGCGCGGGGTTGCGGCAGGCCGGGCCAGCTCGCGCGCTGCGATCCATTCATGCATCGTTGAAGGAGGAGCTTCCAACGCGGCTGCTGCCTGTGGAGGATGCGGAAGCAGGGAGTGAGGTGCTGGTGCTGACGCGTGGCCAGCGGGCTCTGCTTTTGAGTGTCCACTTCACGGACGATGCCACGAATCCTGTCGTTGTTTTGATGCACAGCTGCATTTGCACCCCGCGGCCGCTGCATGCGGGGTGCCTGCGCGTCATTCAAACCCCTGCCCTCGCCGCCCCGCTTCTCTCGCTCTTTTTGACGGACCGCGAGGGGACGATCCTCCTCTACAACGTGGAGATGTCGTGGCGCCTGCGTGCGGGAGCGGCGGAGGGCGGGTGTCGGGTGGAGCTGCGTCCCGCAGACGAGAGCTCCGTCGTCGTGGTGGACCACGGGGAGAAGGTGGAGGACCTAAGCGTGGTCAACATCCTCGGCGCGTCCGCGTCGCTGCTTGCCTTTTCTCCCTCCCTCTCCGCCATGTACGTTCTCTCCTGGAGTTAAGCCGACGGCGGCGTCGATGTCCCCCCTTGAGACGAGGATGGGCAGGGAGACACGCGCGTGCGGTCGGAACTAAGGCCACCGCCACGGCGCAGGCGTGTGCCACCCTTGTCTCTTTACGTATATACTCACTATTGCGTATCTTTAGGCCACCTCTCTTTGAGGCACCCCTCATCTGCGCTTACACGGCACTTCTCCTTCTCTCTTTCTCTCTCTTTCTCGTTCCATGTATCTAATTACTTACATTCGTATCCGTCTTGGAAATATGGGCAAAATTAGTGGCGCGTAGGACGCACTTTCCTTTTTTGGTTTGGTTTCCTGTTGAATACTCTCTCTCGCATGAGCCACAGGTACCTCCACGACGATAGACAGCAGTTTATCAACGGCATTGGCACCGAGTTGGCGTGGGGGTGGTCTCCTGCGATTGACTTCACAGAGGTGTTGGGGCGGCGCGAGAGAGACGCGGCTGAGGACGCCGCGGGGGCCCACGAGCGGCGCGAGGACGGCGCTGAAGCCGCAACGGAGGGCGCGGCAAACGCGGACAATGACGCTGAGGTCGACATTGACGCCATGATTGCGGCGATACGGCGGCGATCACCGACGGAGGCGAACGGCGAGGAGGCGGAGGAGGGTGGCGGGGACGCGGTGCGTGTGCTCCTCTGCGGGGCGGGAGATATTCGACACATCTTTCGCACGCTTGCAAGCCTCCACGTCAAGTCGGCGTCCAGCACGCAGCCGCCGCCGGTGTACCACTTCTACCTTTACGAGCCCAATCTGCGGGTACACTGTCGCCATCTTTTTTTCCTGCAGTGGTTGCTGGACAGCATGTTCTCTTTAGACGAGCTGGAGGAGCGGGTGTTGATGTTTCTCGATGCGTTTGGCAACGCCCTGACGCGCGACACCACCTCCGCCCAGAGCCGCGGCGTGTCCCAGCGGCTGCTGCGCGTGCTTCGAAACGAGGACGGCGCGCTCGCCAGGCTGGTCTCCTTCACCGAGATGAAGTCGAAGGAGCGGGACTTTGTGGAGGAGCAGATTGTGCACTGGACGCGGGGCACGTCGCAGGCAAACATAGAGGCAGACTGGTCGCGGCGAGTGCGCCACGAGATGGCAGAGCGCTACGACAACCGCGATAACATTATTGACTGGGACTTCAATTTTTACCTTCGCGACTACACAAATCTCATCAAGCTTGCCGAGTACCGCACGTGGCGCAATACAGGCATTGCCTTTGACGCAACCCACATCAACCCCCGCCGGGGGTTTACCTACACCTACTCGGTGCCGAACAAAACTCTCTGCCATTTCAACGCCAAGGGGGTTGGAACTTACCTTGGCGACGTGAAGAATGGCCCTTTCTTTGCGTTTGGCGCCCAGACGGCGAACACGCACATCCGCGCAAAGACAATTGATGGGACATGCAAGTACGGCAACGGCGTTGTCTCCATGCATAACGTGCGGGCGTGGCTCTACGGACTCCTGACGGGGCAGTCGTGGCCGTGGGGTGATCACGCCTTTGCCTGGGACGACCCCGCAAACTACAACTACCTGCCGCCTGGGACGCCTAGCGACGTTGCCCAGCAGGCGACCTTCCCGAAGGTGCGCTTCCACTTTGTTGGGCTGGACTTCGCACGCTTCACCCAGCACATGCGAGGGAAGCCGAAGCACAAGAGGTTTGATTTGGCGTTTGTCGGGACGAGTTGCACGCAGCTCCTGTCACCGGACTTCTTTGAGGTCGCAATGCGCCGCGATGCGGTGGTGGTGGCGGAGACCGCGAAGTTTGTCCTCGACGCCCGCGACGAGGCCAAGGCGGCTTTCGTGAACAAAATCCAAGAGTTGGCCGGGGCTGCAAACTGGGAGCAGAACGACGCCCTCACGGATCTGCTGCATGCGGATCAGCCTGAGCCGCCAAAGTGCGCGAAGGACTCGCCCAGCGTGAAGGCGCAGAAGGTAGCGCTGGAGCGCCACCAAATGCCGTACCAGCTGGCCTTGACGCGCTCTGCCGGGCCCCCAGGGGGCTGACCCGGCGCGTGGACCGACGGCAGTAGCGGGGAAGGCGAAGAGAAAAACGAGTGCGACGACGACGACGCGGACACAAAAGGCTGAGGATGCTTCCTGTGCTTCTGGAGGTGGTATTCGTGTTACTGCCGTTGGATTGGACTCCTTCTAGCTTTATTATTTATTTTTACCCTTTACTGGCGCTGCTGTCTCCTCTTGGTGAGTGCGGCTGTGTTGTTGTTATTCAGTTTGTTTGCTTTTTGTGAGCCATGCTGTGCATCTGCGCCCCTTCGTATCTAACTGCATACGCGTATTCAAATGCAGCCTTGCGCATTTGCCCTTCTCGTTCCATCTCTTTCTGTCCTTGTCTTATCCCTTCCTTTGGCCACCGCCTTTACTGTCGTTGTTGTTGTTGTTGTTGTTTTTGTGTACGTCTGCGCCGCAGCTGGCACAGCCTTCATGTTGGATTCCATAGATATCAGTTCCCGCGCGAGACCGGCGGCGGCCACCGCCACCAGCTGGTTTGATGCGATCAGCACAAACTTCCGCGCCGCGGCTGCAAAGGAGCGCGGCTATGACCCCTTTTCCTTCGTCTCCTCGCGGCCCCCCGAGGCGACGGAGCTGACGCCGTCCACCATCCGCTACAACGAAGACAGTGCCGCCTCGCCGCGGAACGAGTTTAGCGCCGGCCAGTCGCCCGTCGCGCCGGCGCATGAGGAGCTCCGGGACGAGCCGACGGACGTGGCGAGCAGTGAACCGGCCTCGCACGGGGAGAAGACGCCGGTGATTCAAGCGAGCACCGCCGCGGCAACCTCGCAGCGCACCCGGCACGTTGACCTGTACGACGACGCCATGCGGACCCAGCTGGCGAAGCGGCAGTGGGAGGCGGTGGAGCAGATGCGACAGATGATGCTGGAGAAGGCCAAGGTGGAGCGGGACTGCCCATTTAGGCCGCAACTCTCATCGTACGCGTCAAGGATTCAACGCCCCGCCGAACTGGCGCCGCAGAACCGGGTTTACGATGAGCTCCTGCGGAAGGAGGAGTGGCGGACGCGGAAGCGGCAGGAACACATTAAGCAAGAGCTGGAGGGGTGCACGTTCCGCCCACTAACGTTGCGGGCCGCCAAGTTGAAGTCCTCCGCCCACACGCACGATTCTCACATCTTCAGTGAGCTCTACGCGCACGAGGAGGAGCGGAACCACTTTATGCGGGAGGTGCAGCCCTACGTTGTGGAGCAGCTGGAGCGCCACATGCTGTTTAAGAACCCGGCCGCCAAGCCACTCCCGGAGGACAAGATCAACGCGGTGGTGGAGCGCCTGTTTTCGCGCAGCGTTGTGGTGCGCCCAGAGGAGGGCACGCGGCGGCGACCGCAGAGCACCTCCCCGACGTTTAAACCCACAGTGGGCGCCCATTCGGCGCACATTGTCGCGAAAAAGCGCGAGCTTGGAAACGTCGCAGAAAACGTGGTGGAGCGCCTTCTGAACCCGAGTGGACCACTGCGTCGGCAGGCCGCCACCAAGCAGGAAGCGGGGGAGTTGGAGCAGGTGCGATCGGAGTACGTCCGTGGACTGCAGGGTTTGTTGCAGCGCGAGCACCGGCGGTCGGTTATTGCGGCCAAGTTTGACCTGCTCTCGGACGCCATAAACAAGGAGCGGCAGAGCCGTGAGGGCCCGCGGCGGTCCGCGGCGGAGCACAGTGCGGAGGAACTTGTGCGGGCCGCTGCGGTGGTGCTCTCAGCCGTCGAGGCGCAGGAGCTCTGCGGCATCCTCGCCGCCGCCGGCGCGGGCAGGCTGAACAGGGACGGCTTCCTCGCCCTCTGCGCGGCTGCCGTGGAGGCGCACCCCAATCCAGGCGCAAGTCCGCTCGCGCGGCTGCTTCCCCCGCGAGCTCTGACGATGCTGCAGGGCCGTTTCACAGCCGCCGACAATGAAAGCCAGGAAGGCGACGCAAGGCGCACGGCGCTTCTGCGTGAGCTTCACTCGCCGGAGGAGCTCGAAAGAATACGCGCCCGGTGCGAGGAGCGCAGGCGGCAAATGGCGGAGGAGGAGTACCAGAAGCGGCAGGCAGTGATAGAGGAGGAACGGCGCCAGTGCACATTTCGCCCACCTCCGCCGCGGCGGATACCAAAAGAGTGCCACGTAAACCACAACGTGGCGGTGAAGCCGACCAAGGCAGATGCCCTGCGTCGAGCGCACATTCAGAAAACGCTTGAAGGGGAAGAGCACGCCGGAGGGGCGGCTGCGGCGCTGCCGCTGGCCTCTACAAAAGAACTCTTTGGTGCTGGTGCTGCCGCTGGGGCACAGGCAAAGAGACACAGCCCCCAAAGCGCGGCCGATCGCTCTCTACTGGAGCCCTCCAATGTTCGCACGAGGCCGGCCCTTGCGGCGCCAGCGGAGGCAGCATCGCCCGCTGCAAAGGCACCCTTGAAGCGTCGTAGAGGGGAAAAAACACTCCGAAGCTACACCACCCACAGGGAGGGTGCTTCGGCGCGCAAAGGTCGTTCCTCCCGCAGTGCCCCAGCAGCCTCATCTGATCGCAGCTCGGAAGACGCCGCTGCCGCCCACCCCAGGCCCCGAAAGATGCGGACGCGGGAGTCTGTTGCAGCAGCCGCCGCACCATCGTCACTTGTGTATCGCGATGTCGTTTCCGAACACGCAGCCTTTGGCCGCGATGGGGCCCTCTCAGAGTTTGGTCGAGAGCTTATTCTACGACAGCTCCGAGAGTATAGAGATAGGCGGTAGTTTTTTGCGTGCTTTTTTTTATTTTGTCTTGCTCCTGCGCTTTTTGTTGTGACTTGCTTTTCTTTTTTGTCGTTGTTGTGTTTTTCCGCGTCGATAACATCTAACATGTGTATGCGTGCACGTCAGCGTATGGATGTATGTGTCTAGCTGGAACGGCAGTTGCATATATACGTATATATGAACGGCAAATATATATATATCTACGTGGGACGCATAGCTCTTCTTGTATTCATTACATTATATATATATATATATATATAAACCCCATAGAGGCAGCAGAGCACGGCCCCTGTTGAGGAGGAGGAGGAGGGGGCTGCGTGTTTGTGTGTGTGTTTTTTTTTGCACTGGAATTGCTGGTATCTGCGAGCTCGTCACAACGGACTAGCATCCCAAGCGAAACAACATCCATCCACTTGAATGAACAAATATATGAAAACGAGAAGGAAATGGAAAGGGGAGAAAATGGCACGCTGGTTTCTCGCATTTACGTCTTCTTCTTCTTTTTTTTCTCCTCTTGTGTTGCGCTGGTTTGTGCGTGTCGTCTGCACCCGCGCTGTTGACGCTGCGTGGGAGTTAGTGAGCAGAGCAGCAAGCTGGCGGCGGTCGCGGGCGTGAGACTGCAGATGCAGCGCGGGGAAAAGGTCCCTAATGAGACCCTCTCCCCGAAGCAGCCACGCGGGATCCTCACCGGACCGGCGCGAGTACCAAATCATCAGCGCCCAGCTGGAGAACATCCTGAGCGAGGCCTGCGGCGAGCCCCCCTCCGGCGCGGACCGTGCGTTGATAGAAAAGCGTATTACTGAGCTGCAGGGCGCCCTTGAGGAGGCGGGGCGCCGCATTCGCGAGAAGCAGTGCCTTGCGGAAAGGACACGGGAAAGGCGGTTTGCCGACCTTCAGCAGCGTCGCGCGAAAATCTACGAGGAGCGGACGGAGGAAATCATGAAGGAGTTTGAGCGGCGACGAAAAATTGTTGCCGACCAGATGGAGGAAAAACGCTTCTACTACAATCAAAGAAACGAGGTTGTGGGTGGGAGGATAAAGTCGTACAGGAACTCCTTTCTAACCGCGCAGGCAGCGCTGGTCGAGAAGGCGGAGGCTGCACGCGAGAAGCGGGATAAGATGCTCGCTCGCCTAAAAGAAGAGCGGGCGCGCAGCATCGAGGAGCGCAAGGAAAAGGCGCGGCTGCGAATGGAGCGATGCCGCGAGGTTGCGAACCGCCGGAAGCAAAACGAAGAGGCCGTGAGGCGCGAAAAGAGGCTTGCGTTTATGCGCCACGGGGAAGAGATCGCACGGCGGCAGATGGAGGGCGACGGGGTACGGCAAGGCAGGAACCGCACACGCTGCCCTTCGCAGCGTCCTCCCCGCAAAAGAAGCGAGACAGGCGATAGCGCCAACGGGGCGACTGCACAGACGACGCGGTACAAACCCCACGAGATGCTTATGAGGGAGTTGAAGGAAAAGGAGGAGCAGCATCGGGCGCGGTATGAGGCAGAGCAGGCCAGCCGATTATACGAAATACAGCTCCGGGCCCACGCACGCCAAAAGCTTATTGAAAAGCAGTGGGAAAATTATTCGGCCCAACTTGAGAGGCGAGTTCAGCGCAACGACGAAATCATAAAGATGGCACAAGAAAAAAAGCGACGCGGTGAGCAGGCGCAGATGAACCGTGAGGCTAGAGATCAAGAGGCTGGTGAAGCTGTTACGCGTGATGTAGAGGAGCACCGTAAGCGAGCAGAGGACCTCGAGCTTCAGCGTCGCCAGGATGCTCTAACCAAAAACTATTATAAATGGAACGATCGTGCAGATCGCGTCATTCTGCAACTACAGGAAGCCATTCGAGCTGATAATGAAATGCAGTCTGCGAAGGATCGAAAGGGAGTTATTCTACCACAGTTATCCTCCCTTCGCAGTCTCTGACCAGCGGCAGTGCTCGTCTTCTTCTTTATAGAACTGTTGGTCGTACCCCGCCCCACGCTCTGCCCGGCTTGGGCACATTTCTTCTTAACGGCACGCTGTGGTAGGAGCTTGTAGGTCCACTTCATTGCTTGCCTTTTTTGAAGGAGATAAAATTGTAATCTACATCTATATATGTATATTCGTCTGTGTCCGTTGATACTGTAGGTGGCAGGGGGTGGAGGAACGATCCTTCGAATACACAAGGAAGAAAAAAAGCAAAATGAAACGGCCCAATTTAACCCCCTCTCTTTGCTCATCATTGCGTTTTAAGGAAGACTTGCTTCGTGGAAGAAAAGGAATTTTTTTTTGCTTTGTTTTTGCTTCTCTGGTCCGGGGAGGGAGAAGGAAAAGTCGGCTTCTGCATCTGCTTCTGTGTGTGTGTGTGTGTGTCGTCGTTGCCGTTGCCGTTGTTTTTTTTTCTTCATTTTGTCGTCTATCTGTATTTGCAGTGTTCGTTTTTTTAATGCATTAGAGTCCCGCTTTAACCGAAGTTGCTCGAAGGAAAGAAAATGAAAAAAAAAAAAGATAAATAAATGTGTGGCCGAAGATGGAGCTCCGTAGACGATGGGCATTTTTTTTTTTTGCTTTGATGTTATGTTTCTCCTTACGTATCAGTTAATTTATTTCTTTCTTTCTAAACGATGCCGCGTTGGAAGGGAAATGTGTCGGATGTTTCTGTCGTTTGTTTGTTTGTTTGTTTCCTCCGCCGCCGGCATCCTCTGCGCAGCGGGCGTCCGGCGGTGGCGGCGGCGGGGGGGGAGGCCTAACGACTGCCGCTTCGCCTGTTCCCGACGAAGCCGGTCATCATAAAACGCACTTCATTTTCGTTTGCTTCTTTGCGGCGCTTATATCTACATGTATGCCAAAATGAGTTGATGCAATTGTGCGCCCTTGCTTCCTCCCGTGTGCCTTGACGTGGGTTGTGTTGCGTGTCTTTTTACCGCGCATTCTCTTTGATATTCCCCCCCCCTTCTTGTGTCTGTGTGTGTGCCTCTTCCAAGCGTGCATGGTCTTTCCTGCTTGCGGGCTCTTCCCGTCTGTCTCGTGCGGCTTGGGTCCTTTGCGTGAGGTCACACTGGCAGCAAAGAAGCATCAGAAGAAGCCACACACGCGCACAAGCAAACAAACGAAAGTCAAAAAGGTACACCTCAAAATCATGTCAGCAGAGGCATCTGCGGATGTCCTTTCACAGGTGACAGGTGTCGTTCTCATTCCCCCATGCTCGGTTATACTGGCATCTAGCTTTGCCAACTGCTTTCTTAACGCATTTTTTAATTCCTTCCGCCACAAAGACACCTTGAAAAGCATCTTCTACGTTAATAGACGTGTGCCACAGGAGGCGGTAGGTGTCCGCAATGACGCTGCAGAGTGTGCACCAATAGAAATTGACCCTCTGCTTGGGAGCTGGGCTTCAACGTTGCGGACCGACAAGAGTGCGTTTTTGAGAGGTCGCAGATCACTTACTTCTACGTCGCAACCTACGCCGGTGGAGTCGGTGCCAAACAACGCGTTGCTGGACTCCTTCCAGTCCGTGCGCCTCGAGGCACAGCGGATGGTGTTTGTGTACAGCCCGACCTACATGATCGTGGCCTCGGCAAAGAGCTTGGTGATGCTGGTGGTGTTGCAGTACCACTTTGACTACGAGGGCGGGTGGAACCGCCTTGTGGTGTGCTCCGCGGCGAACGTGATGGGCGGGCTGCTGACCCCCGTCCTGGAGTACGCCGCGAGGTGGCTGCTGCCGCTGGACCACGAGTGTGGGGGGCTGGGGGTGGTCGTGGAGCCAGAGGAGCCGACTGACTCGGTGCTCATTGTGGAGGTGCTTGGCCACATTTCTAGACTGGAGCTGGAGGACCTTGGCACGGTGCTGATCCAGGGAAGCGCGTTCATCGTCTTCGGCGCCGTCCTTCTTCCTGCGCTGCTTGTGTTCTGCCTGACCGGCATGGCCTCCTTTCTCTGGCTGTTT